TATATATATATATATGCCTATATACAGTGAAGTCCACTTATAACAAGTCTTAAAATAACGAGAAGCATGTTATAAAGACACTATTCTTAAATATGTTTTTTTTACCCCTTCGCTTTATTTTTAAAAATAAAGTATTGCTATTGCACAATCAGACAAACATGCTAGTCAGTTATAGCGGAATATTGTTACTGCTGTGCAGAGTGTATAGGCCAATTATATACGTATAAAATATATGTAAAACCTCGCCAGTTGAGAAACTTGTTGGTGATCTAGCGAAACAAAGAATGGGACAGCCCACGTGTGCCAACAATGAAGGTCGGAGCGAATGAGTGGGGAGGGTTGTTTCAGAATGCTCTCAGGTCTGCTTTGGTAATAGTATAGATTGTGCTGCGAATAGAGCTTGCTGTTGAGCGGGGATTTGCGCAAAACAAAAGCTATCTAGTATTATCTATTATTTTAACTAATGTATTTGTGAGACAGTGTGGTAACATCTGGCGCTCCTCAACATGATCAAACTGACATTTATCCACAGGTTCGTGGATTTTTATCGAATTTTTGTTTTTTTGGTAAACGCCTTTCATGCCCATTAAAGAACAAATTTCTGTAGGGCCTATAGATTTTACTGAAAAAAATTGATTAAAGGCACCACAATTGTAAATTTTTAGTTTCCAAGGACTCTGAGGCTTTGAAATCATCAAACTTTGGCAGACATTTTCTCGCTAATTTTACATCTAAAACTAGACAACCCCGACCCCCTTCAATTGCAAATATCTCGATTCGTATTCAAGATGAATGGATATTTTTTCACACAAAGCAAGGCAAATGAACAAGCTTTAACTTTAAGATGACACCAATAACTCTTCATGCCCAAAATTTGACGAGCACCTGATTCCACCATATCTTGCGTGACACAAATGCTATCTCTGATATTAACTATTATTAGAACTAACGTATTTATCTTCTCTTTCTTCCTCCCCCCCGCCCCCACCCCCAGGGTGACCCGCAGCGACTACCAGGAGACCTTTGAGTTCCTCAACACCCTGGCCGAGAACCTCAAGGCCAAGATGGCCGCCACCAGCTGACTACCTGGCGCGCCCTGTAGTGGCCAGGACGCAGCGGTCAGGGACGCCAGCAAACTGTGACCTCTGGTTGACCTCTGGCTGACCCTTGGCTCACCTCTGGCTCACCTCTGGCTGACCTGTGGTTGACCCCTGGCTTACCTCTGGTTGACCTCTGGCTCACCTCTGGTTGACCTGTGGTTGACCTCTGGCTGACATCTGCGTGCCATCCCCCCCCCCAGCTCTGGTCCCATACACGGCTATCCCCCCCCCCAGCTCTGGTCCCATACACGGCTAGGCTGTTCCCCCCCCCCCCCCCCCCCTCACAGAGTTTATCATCGTTTTTTCACTGCTACTGTACTCTTTTGTTTCATGTACCTGGGGAACTTGTAGCGTAGCGGGACCTGGCTTCTTTTTATTTAGTGACGAGAATCTATTTTTATTTTTATTTTTTACTTGGGTTCAACGTTTTGTGGGTTTGTGTACGGTAAATCTTTGAGCTGGTATTCCAACTTTTTTAAAAATAATTTTTTTTATAGGTACAAAAAGAAAAGTTTCCCTTTTCTAGCAGGGATGTTTTCGTCCATGGGTAGATGTATGAGGTGTACGGATAGGTTTCAGCCATTGTGTCAACAGTGGTGCGACTGTTTGCTTGTTTGTTTGTTTGTTTGTTTGTTTGTGAGCGGAGGAGACTTTGTTGTGAGCAGGGATTTTTCTAGAACGTTGCACCCAACTATTTCAACTATTTTTAAAAATATATATTATAATTGCACTGGAGGCTGTGGATGTGAGATAGAAGCATGTTTTTTTTGTGTTTTTATTTTGTTTATTGTGGATCAATCTTTTGTAATTTGATTTATTTTTTTTACGTGATACTTGACCAAAGAGAAGAGATTTGTAGATCTGTAGATGGCTGACTGGACATGTGTATACATTACCATTGACTGGAACTTTTGGGAGGGTTTTTTTTTTGACGAAGAAGATGACGATTGTGGTGAGTGTCTGTGTTGTCGCGGTTGTACTCGCCATGGGAGGATGCTGGTCCTGTCTGTGGAGTGGCTTCCCTTAACCATCCGTGCATGGAGTGGTCTCCCTTGACTGTTAGTACGTGGAGTGGCTTCCCTTGGTCGTCCCTGTGTCAAGTGGCCTCCCTTGGCCGTCCGGACGTAGACTGGCCTCCCTTGGTCGTCTGGACGCGGAGGAGGCTCACGCAGAAACAGGGAGGTGACAATGAGGCAACGTTTCTCCTCCCTGCCACGGTTCTGCCAGGTAGTAGTCACCTTGACCTTCCTCCGATGACAGAGACAAAGCATCTCCTATCAGCTTTGTGCATCCACCGATGTTATGATTAACACTTTGCCATCACAAGGCTCAGATAGTAAAAATAAAAACTCTTGCCATCAAAGGCAAAAACATTTTAGGGAAAATCCAAAGAAACTGGGTGGTAAACATCGCCGATCGGTGAGATGTTAACTAATAATACATTGTCTGTGATTGTGAACAACAAACAAAAAAAATCAAAACAAGACATCTGTGAATTTTTTCTGTGACTATAATTTATTCGTTTACCATTTATAATTTATTCGTTTACCATACAGATTTTGGGCTGTAGTTGTAGCTGTAGTTGTAGTGACTTTTGTCTGTGATCTGAATAGTGCGATGAATCCCAACGCTTCTGTTTTCTAGTCCGTTTGTCTGTGTGTACGGTATTTATGTTTTGTTATCCCGACAAACTGCCCCCTGTGTTGTATGTATGGTCGTAGAAGAAAGAAAGTCAGTGGTGAAAGATACACAGGAAATAAAACCTCATCTGCATCATCACTAGGTGCCTCGTGTTCTTATCATTCACATCACCACCCCCCAGCCCCCCCCCCCCCCCCCCCCAAGCTTTGTCACACTTTGTGTCTTATGGTGTGGTTCGAACCGTGAGGAGCAGACACGCTTGTCTTGATGAACAATTTCCAATTTCGGTTTTGTCTTGTGCAGACGAAACTTCCGTAGAGTCTGAGGGAGTTGGCAGGGACTTTGTGGTGAATGATTGATGAGAAAGGATTGATGAGAAAGGATTGATGATAAGAGTATAGTCTGTCAGCGTCTGCTCGTAATAGAACACAAAGAACTGATGGATGATGTGATAGACATTCTTCAGACAGACACTAGACAGACATGTGGACAGACGTGTGGACAGACACTAGACAGACATGTGAACAGACATTTGTTGAGCCAGACATTTGTGGGTCGGGCGACAGGTTCATGTTTTCCCCAGTGCCATCTGTCTGATGTGTCCTTTTTGTTTTAGCTGACTCGGCTTGGGCTCGTTCCGATTCACATTCCTGGAGGGATCTTGGGAGTTGTGTTCGTTTCTTGTTGTCGTTCTGTCGCTCTGTGTGTTCACAGACTATATCTGAAGCACTTTGAATGAGGATTATCGGGGATAAAAATTTTTTTTTTACCGTACATTTGCCTTTGAAAAACAGCGGAGACCAAATGATCATGGATAGATAGATAGGTGACCAAATGATCATGAATAGATAGATAGGTGACTAAACGATCATAGATAGGTATTGGCATCTACGTTGAATTCAGCTTTTGCTCCTAGTTTGTTTGAGTATGTCTTCATTTTCCATCAATTACTGGATTTTGTTCGTTGACAAGGTAGTTTTGTACAAGGTCATTTATACCAGTTTCAGTCTATCTCAGTTGCGATAAAGCTCCACTTTTTACGGCTTTGCGTTTGTTCAAATCAGAACATAAACATCGTGCGTTTATTTAAATAAGAGAAGAGAGACTTGTGTGACCACAGTTAATTGTCCTGATCTGTCCACGCCACCACGCGACCCATCTGTTCACACCACCACGCGACCCATCTGTCCACGCAACCACGCGACCCATCTGTTCACACTCTCTCTAAGTAAGAAGTTTCTCTTGGTCTGCCCCTGCCTTGTTTGCCATCATCTATTTGCTCAGTGAGAGCTAGATGTTCAAGTCAAGGCTTTTTTGTCTATTCTACTATTCTCAGACCCTAGAAATTGCATTTGTCGCTTCTAAGCTGTCTTTATTACTAAAGTTACTTAAGTGAGCGGCCCACATGGGCTTCTTTCAGTCAGCACTACCTCAATGGATTTCTCAACAGTCTCTAAAGAAACCACACTTCTTTCGCTTTTTTTATTTTCCTTTTCTTTGGTAGGATTTTGTCTAGAATTCACAGCCATACTGAAGGGTTAGTGAACATAATTTATGTGTTACATATATGAATTCATCGATGTATAGATCAATGTTAATACATCGATGTGTAAATTTACATATTATAGATATGTGAATTCATCGATCTATAGATGTATGTAAAGTAGTTTTTGGCTGGTTTTACTTTTCGAGGGCTGGCTACCTTTTTGCACGATTCACGGCCAAAAACTGGCAAACAAATGTGTTGTGTTTTTCATACACTATATATGCCCAGATGTTTTCAAGTTTCACTCAGTCAATTTTTTTTTTTTTTAATTTTTTATCAGTGAAAGCAAGGAATAATTCAACTCCCAGTCACTGTTTTTTCAGTGTGTGTTCATTTACACGAGTTCAACTAGCCATTGCTCTTTAAAGTCGACGTTATATTTACACTAGATCTATATATATATTTTTACTTTAATATTATTATTCGGCCAAAGAGACTGATGTCTTTTCAGTCAGTTCCAGATATAGATATATGTCTTTGATCTACCACCGCGAGCACTAGCAGCCTTTGGAATTGTGCTTTTGCTTTTGTATAATTTATAAATCTGTACAGAAATGTTTGGGCATTAGCGCGGCTGTGATACAAAGCAAGCAAAATGTTCCTACCTCTTGAAAGATATCACAGCTCATTATTAAGTTTGGTCTATGTTAGTTTTGTAGTTTTTCCTAAAGCAATCACAATTTTTATAGAGTGTTCTTGGACGTTATTTTTGGAGCTGATTCTGAGGCTGTGTAGGTTTTCCCTATGTCGTCTATGTCTCAGCTCCTAGTGTATTATCGTAATCGGATTGAGCACAGTTAGACGATATATATATAGAGAGATATATATAATATACAAGTCTTTCTGTCTTTGTACATTATTAGTATATCTTCATGGTCAGCACACAACTGCTTTGGTCATTTTTTGCTGTTTTTTAAAATTACTGGCACTGGTAAGATAAAAATGTCGATTAGTATTACTTGTTCAATATCATATCCTCTTGGTAGAGTGCACTAAAACAACCCAAACTGTGGAGACATTTTCACTTTTGTTGAAGTCATACAGTTGACTTAGGTAAGCACCGTTTTCGTTTTATTTTATACATTTAATTCCAAACAGCAACAAACGACCTTGGTACTTGTGAGTGCTGTGACTGTGAGGATGTTGTTGTTGTTGTGGTCGTCGTTGTGAGACTCCCGTCTGTCTGTGGGATGGTCGTCTGGTCGGGAGATTGGGGACGTCTGCGTTGTGTGTGGAGGAAGAAATAAAAAGTGCAGTACTTATCTAGTGCGACGCCTCTTGTCTTTATTTGTCTGTCCTCGTCGTTTTAGGCAAGACAAATTTTGAAATTATGAAAACTGAGCCCAAAAATGTGAAATTAAACGATTCTGTTAATTTTAACAAAGAATGATAAAGGAAAATAATAAGAAATTATGAAAAAAAAAGGACCAAATTTTGCTAAATTATGCGGGGTGCATATAACCACGGGGACAGATTTTTGGTTTGTTGATGTTTTGGGCTTTCTAAAAAATAAGTTATAATACTTTCCTTGTTTTCAGATGCAAGTACTAATGGCATTTTACTAAATGTGAGGCTGCGTGGTGAAATCAGGCGCTCGTCAAGATAATGAAAGTGACAAAACTGGCATTTTTCCACAAGTTTGGGAATTTTTATCGAATTTTTGTTTTTGGGCTCAATGCCTTTTATGCCCAATATAACAACACTTTTCTGTGCGGGTTTTACTGAAAAACGTTGATTAGATGCATAAAAGATATTTTCAGTTTCCTGAGCTCTCAAGCTAAGGAAATGACTAAACTTTGGCGGTCATTTTCTCGCGTATTGTTTTCATCGAAAGCAAGGCAAATGAACAGGCTTTAAGATGATACATGTGCCAATAACTCCATTTGCAAAAAATTGACGAGCGCCTGATTCCACCACGTCATGACAATTATATCCGGTTGTACCGAATCAGTTTTCACCTGAAAACAGAGATGTTGACTATCTTTGTTTTCTTTTTCAAAAAAGTA